CATATGACCCCTTTAAAATAAAGTGTGACTGAAAAAAATTATTCAACATATTAATAAAAACTATAATAGTATCTAAGTGATTCTAAAATACTGCCAGGAACATATACAATGCATTCAATGGAATTAGAAGCACAAATGTCATTTGACAAAAATTACTTCATGAGCTGCTTCAGTTTATACACTGTAAAAAAATACCTTGCCAGGTGACCTAAAATGTGTGTTTGCATTATGATCTAATTGAACTATTTTTATTCCAAAAAAAAAAAGTGGCTTGATGCAACAGAATATTGCTGTCAAAATCTAAATATTACTTGTCAAAGAGCTAGGAATGGGCCAGGATGGTCGACTTGTCGATTAGGGAGGTTGAGTAGTTTATTTATTCAGATTTTTGTCATAGCTTTAATATTTTTGGCAGCAGCACTTTAAAGGTAATGAATTCAGAGAGGAGGGTGGGATGTTATCATGCTGAGAGCGTGTGCTGCTTCAGTGGGCTGTAGACTGTCAGCACGGTAAACTCTCTGAGAGAAGTCACATCTCCAAATCCAGCTTCTTTAAAGGGGTCATATGATGCGATTTCATTTTTTCCTTTCTCTTTGGAGTGTTACAAGCTCTTGGTGCATAAAGAAGATCTGTAAATTTGCAAAGACTAAAGTCTCAAATCCAAAGAGATATTCTTTATAAAAGTTAAGAGTTAGCCACACCTACCTAAAACGGCTCGTTCGAACACGCCCCCCAGCATCATATGACCCCTTTAAAGCAGCACCCCTGCAGCCATCAAAGCACCACCTTTTTAACAAGCCCAACGCATTCAACAATACATTTCAAGACAGTTTGTATGGGACTTTAAATAACCTGCCGTGAGCAATGTTCCTGTTATTATGCATAACAAAAGGCTGTGTTTCTGTTTGAGCTGTGATAGATTTGTGCAACAAAAGCTTACAGGTATTTAGCCTATATATTTGTTGAATGTATGTCATTTACTCAGTTATCGAGCAGAACAGTTTACACTGGTTGTTTTAATGTAAATGTATGCACACATGTAGAAAGATTTTATAGAATAAAGTTTTTGTTCAGTGTTGTGTTTTAAGACAACATACAAACTTTAAAACAGTTAAAAAATAGTCCAGTTTTTAAGAATGCATCTTGAGACTGTTCTCTTTAAAAAAAAAAAAAAAAGAAAAAGGAATGGAAAAAAAAACTATCTAGAGATGATTAAAAAAAATAAATGGGCTAATGGGCCTTAATGCAACGTTTACACTTAATGCATGACACACTACTGTTTAAAAGTTTGGGGTCAGTGAGTAATAATAATAATAATAATAATAATTATTATTATTATTATTATTATTACTCACTGACCCCAAACTTTTAAACAGTAGTGTGTCATGCATTAAGTGTAAACGTTGCATTAAGGCCCATTAGCCCATTTATATCCTGTTCTCAAAGATGTCCAAGAAATGAAGTGATTCTCCATGGAGAGAAAGGCTAAGCCATCAGCTTTTTTTTCCAAACAGCAGAAAATCCTGATCCAGGCTCATGCACACATTCCCATTACATAACTTAAGGGTCATAAAACATCTAGAACAGAGCCAGGTTGATCAGATTTGCAGCTTTAGTTGGATGCAGCTGGATGTTACAGAGCCTGAGAATATATTAATGTCAAATGTGCAGGATTAATGATAATAAATTATGATGATGATAATAATAGCCGGATTAAAATCATTGTTTTTGTGTTAGTGGTTGATGTTTTTATATGTAAACAATATTAAACTTTATACTGTGAGTTAATGTTCGTCTGGCAGATCCTGAGTGGATCATGAATATTTTGCAGCATGTCACTTGATTGCGAGGCATGTTGAAATCAGATGAGAGCAGGCGCTCTTTAACCACTTAACACACTGTGTCATGTTTACCGAAATGTTCCTTTCTGTCAAACTTCTGTGCATAGAACAGAAGTGTATGAATGTTGCATTAGATATAATATATCAAATGCTGCAGGACCTTTTCTCAGAACTGGTTTCCCTTTTATGAGCCATTCTTGCAATAACTTTTAATCAACTGGTGATTTTAGGTTATGAGGTCAGTTCTCCTCAAGTTCACACAGGTGTTCTAACAGACTAACCACATGTGAACAGAATCACATTAACTTTCAACATGATCCACTAAAGTATAAATTACACTTTTGAAAACATATTAAAAAAAAGACAGTTTGTATGGGACTTTAAATAACCTGCCGTGAGCAATGTTCCTGTTATTATGCATAACAAAAGGCTGTGTTTCTGTTTGAGCTGTGATAGATTTGTGCAACAAAAGCTTACAGGTATTTAGCCTATATATTTGTTGAATGTATGTCATTTACTCAGTTATCGAGCAGAACAGTTTACACTGGTTGTTTTAATGTAAATGTATGCACACATGTAGAAAGATTTTATAGAATAAAGTTTTTGTTCAGTGTTGTGTTTTAAGACAACATACAAACTTTAAAACAGTTAAAAAATAGTCCAGTTTTTAAGAATGCATCTTGAGACTGTTCTCTTTAAAAAAAAAAAAAAAGAAAAAGGAATGGAAAAAAAAACTATCTAGAGATGATTAAAAAAAATGTAATTTTGCATATCTCTGCAAAGAAGGTCCTTTAGCTTAAAAATACATACATGTTCAAGTAAGGATCAGATTTATTTATTTATTTATTTATTATTATTTTTTTTTTTATTATTAATTAATTAATTTATTTATTTTGTTTGTTTGTTTTCCTAATGCTTATCGTTAACTATTTTCACATTTTAAAATATTAAAATATCAAATATTAAAATATTTTAGTATTTTAAGAATTTAATTATTAATTCTTTAATACTTACTTGGTTTAATACTCACCAAGGCTGCATTTATATTTTAAAAAATACAGAATATGAAGTGTTACAATTTTAAATAACTGTTTTCTATTTTCAAATACAATAATAATAATAATAATAATAATTATTATTATTATTATTATTATTATTATTATTATTATTAAACAATGTGATGGTA